ACCATCGTATTTCTCTGTATCTGAATACATCTTGACGACGGCGGCTGCCTCGCTGTACTGAGGGTTGATAGTGGGTCTAGGGGTCTGAATAGATTGGATAGGTTGAGGCTGGACTTTTGGTTGGACCTTTGGTTGGGCTTGATTAGTTGAATCGGATAGCTCGTCCTGATTTGGATTAAGTTGTTTCCTAAGTGCAATGGAATCCAAGCGACTATTATAATAGTCGCTTGGACACTCGAAGATAGCATATCTAATATCGTCATCGGACTATACATATATTTGCTCTCGTTAGAGGACCTCGAGAAGCATTTGCGAGAGCGTAGTGTTCTTGTTATTCTCTCCTATAAATACTCCCCTGCGAAGTAGGTGTTTTCGTAGTTTTTTCCTTATACTTGTCTTTGTCTTTTCAAATGTGGCTAGGGTGAATCTCTCGAACTCTGCCTAGTATGTTTTCCAAAGAGTCTTGTCCTTGTATTCCTTGGTGATGTGTGTGACAATCACCTCATTGACGTAGTCCTCTATCTCCTCTGTTGTGATCTTGTCGACGTCTAGCCCATGTTCGTATTGAGGTGCCATTTTGGATTGTGTTTTTGGTGAATTTGATGTGTTTGTGGATTTTGTTAGAATCGATACTCGAGTATTTGTAGGCGTGCGCGGTGTAGTATGAGTGTTCCTGATCTGTACATCTACTGATCAGTATCGGTATACCGTAGTATATAGATAGTATCACCTATCATGGCCTAACGTAGCAACGGGCGTAACCTTTTACTTATTATGTTGTGATATGATGATTGTCTTTACTATGCGAGGTGTGTTACCCTAATATAGGCATTGTCCTTTGTTCCACTAACAAACACTGTTCTTTCCTACTTCGAAATACCTCGTGAAATGAGAATTGGACATATTCTTTGGGGCGTTGCGGAGATGGTATATGTTTGTAAAGTATTCAGAAGGGTTATTTTTGGTGGGATCTCCAAAACTACTTAAAACCAATGGTCTAGTACTGTAAGTAGAGCAAATGCCCACTCTGCGGAAAGTCTACCGGGGAGATTATTTGAAATGACCTTATCTACGAAGTACATTAAATTATAACGGTTGGTATGCAACTATGGTGGCTATCGAAGATGCTACAGACACCCACAAGTCAAGGCTTATCTCTCCGTCTTTCTCACTCTCTCACGCACACACTCTCTCACTCTCCCACTCTCTTATTCCCGCTCTCTCCACCCACAAACTTCGCACCAAGAATCACGTGCAACACCTCCTCTGGATCATGTAAAAACGCAGGTATCACATCCTGTCTCCAATCCAGATCATCGATCCTCTCTATAATAACCTGTCCCCTCTCATTCACGAACTTAATCAACAGCTCTTCGATCTGCAGCTTCATGATGTTGAAGAACAGCTGATGGTGTAGTTGGAGTTTGAAGGTGTGCGCGTCTTTGGCGTGGCGGGGGTCGAAGTTCAAGAGGCCCTGGCGGGGTATCACGTCTTCGTGAGAAGAGAGAGATTTAATGGTGTCGTGAGTGTCGTAGAGGGGGCTCCAGGTGTAGGAGAAGCGTTTTGGGGGGTAGAAGTACCGGTTTTTGCTGGGTGGTTGAGGTGTATTGCCCATTTGGACGTCTGAGCCTTCCCGAGCTTGGTCAATGTTCTCCCTATGCCTACCATTCTGACTATCTTCGTTCATCCACCGAGGAATCCAGCTAGGATTCAGACTCCTATTAGATATGGCTCTGAACCCATTCTCACTACATATGAAGTACGGCAAGCGGCTCGCTCTGAAGTTGTAGAACAACTGTTTGATGATGTACCATAGGCGGTTGAAGGGCTCCATGAAACTCTCTCCCCTGTCATTCAGTGGTCGGAGTAAAGATAGAGGAATATCCACCTCTTCCGCCTTAATAGCGAAGACCTTGCTCTCGGCGGGTAAGGAAAGAGCAAGTTTCAACTTATTCCGAGCTTCTTCTGCACCAGCTTCTCTTTCCTCGCCATCCTGCAATTTGTATGCTGCGAGTCTCTCTCTCAATCGCCATAGCCATGCAGCGACTTTGATATGACAATTGATCTTGCTGGCTTGCCGCTCTTCCTCTCGGTGGTGTGCGAGATTTCCCATCCTGACGCGGTCGACTGTTGGATACATCGAGTCCAAGTCCAAGTTCTCGCCGTATCTTGCCACCGCGCTCGTTTTTCCATTTCCAAGAGTCTGGCAAAGATCTTTGAAAATGTGAGGCCAGCCTTTATGCTTCTCTAGTGAGAAGAATATCAATGGGGTGAGCTCTCCGACAACTTCGAGGAGGGGCCTTGATAGCCAAAGTCTCATCAGTTGGTGAGTATTGGCATAGTCGCAGTAGGCCACAAGAAGACGGGTGTCTGCTTTCAGGAAGTAGAAGTCGCGTGATCCTAAGTGAGGTCGTCCAGGATGGTGTGGAATCCCCGCTCTAAGGTCTTTCTAAGAACTGTTAGTCTCTTTGGACGAAGGCTCTCAGTAGGAGTAGTACGTACTTTGAATAGTGGAGGGCCATCTGAGTCAGATCGAGATCCTTTTTTGCGTCTCCTTTCTTTACTGAGGTTCTCCCTGCGCTCTCGAACTGACCGGGGATTTCTTGCCTTATCCATTGTTGCTCTCGCTTACAGCGTAGTGGACTCTTAGGGGCAAATACAACGAATTGTTGAATTTATTATCCTCGAACGCTCGAGATTTGTAGTTTTGCTACAGAGGGACGTTAGCTTGCCCCCACGATCTTGGGAGAGTTGCCCTTTGTGGACTAAGCGCTAAGGGCATAATACCTCTCAAATCCTACTCTTTACACTTTCTTCCTCACTAGTGATACCTTGTAAATTGTACAACAAAGACCATGCCAGCTATGAGTCACACGAGGGATATAATCTACCTATAACAAACCTGTATGGTCGTCACCGCCCGGGGCCCAACATCTATGATTCATACAAAGGGCAGAATTTTAAGCGAGCCTTGCTCAATTTAATGGGAAACTTGCCGTAAACAGCGCTAGGAAATAAATTTTTAAAAGCAGATATTTAACTTTCTCTTGTATGAGAACTAGTTAAAACTCTGTGTACGGCACTCTTTAGTTCCCCGGGTTATTATAAGATGAGTTACTAGAGTATCCTTGAATTTCTAAGGAATGAGCATAAATGTCATAGTTAGGATAGGAGAATGATTTTTATCCTTTTTGCTTTATTAGATCAATTCTTTAGCAAAGTTCCTGGGTGGACCTAGAGCTTGAAGCACGGCTTTACATATACACGCTTATCCCCCACTGGTCTCGTAGGCACGATTTAACTATAAAATTAGACGGTGAATATTGTTGAAGTCTTGATGGAGCTGCTAGCTAGAGGCTCTTTATAATGCACGGCACGTGTGACAGCATAGCAAAAGGAATCTTACGAAAGAGAAATATGATAAAACGCTTTATTCATGCGAATTATAAATTAGGTAGGGTAGAAAAGAAAAGAAAGATAAAACTATACAAGCGGATGCCGCCATAATATCCATTGGCCCTAGCTTCCTTTCCTACCTAGACCCGTGACCTTAGGAAAACCCTTCCCTGTAGCCTGTACAGTACAAACATAGGCTCTAGTATATTGCTGGGGTTTGACATACTCTCTTGTTTCCATGAATTCTTTCCAAATCATCTCATCCTCAAAAGCAAAATTACCAATTCTAGGATATGTTGTATTTCTCCCTCTATTGTTTTACACCGAGGAATCATAGTGTTAGCAAAAGACAGTTGGTAAATCTCCATCCCGGATCTAGGATCTTGCCATCCTGGTCTTCCCATCCACTTTATTCTCTATTTCCTATAGGCTACTCACAACCTTTAAACTTTAGTGTCCACGTTCCATTCGACCCAAGAATAAGCTCTAGATAGAAGACTTCTCCTTCAGAAACGATTTATAAGCTAATAATTCGCCAATTGCAATAACAACGACGCAATAAAATTATAAAACTTCTACTTTTCCTCAAAATCTATGGAGTAACTAGTATCGTAGTGACTACATTCCTCCATAAGCCCGCCGTGACCATGCAGATTGACGCCATGGAATACCCCCTGCCAAAGGTGAAAGATCAGCCCGACACATATGCTGAGCTTGTGTCTCTTTCCACAGTCTTCGGATACTCACTGTTACTTTGACCTTTTATACTTCTCGTTACGTAATTGGGTGAGACTAACCGAACGAGTCAATAAGCTCGCTTATTGGGTGGGGTGCCCGAACGAGAATGGAAAGTAAGAACTGTAAAATACTGACCCAACCAATCGTCCTTGTTCCCCATTGTGACCAATCCTACACCAACACTCATTAAATCCGAGAATTGTCCTATATCTTCTGGTAGAAGGGAGGAGATCTCCAGACATTTTAAACTTACTAAACTTGTTTACATTTTATTTTAAAATACCACCACATGACAGAGAGTTCCATTCGCCATAAGACACGAGAGTGTCACTTGCACAGCTTCAATCTTTGGACTATGATCTTGGTAGATATGAATCTAGGTGGCAAGAATTCTGGTTAGATCGAAGAGCAGATAGTGGAGGCAGCTCGGGAAGGCCTTCATGTCACTGGAGTTGACTTTCAAAGTTGAAAATGGCCTCACAATTGTCAGATTAAACCAACATTCGTCACTGTTCTACTACCATTTGTGCACGACCACGGAAGAAAAGGGGGCTTTCCCACCTTCAAATAGCAATTGTGCCTCTAGAAAGACACTAAGATATCCGTGGAAAGATTATGGCCATCCAAGACTTGCATTCGAACCAACATAGCATTGACCCTGTGAAAGTTAGCGAGGGAGCTCGGGGAGGCAAAAGCACAGGCCACACATTCGCTCCCGGCAAAACAACGGGCACAATTTCGCTGCAAGCAAAACATGACCAAAACATCGACAACACACCTTTTCACTCCAAAACAAGTTATAGCAAACATACCACAGTCCCACAAAGCTAGGGATGTGCGTTATAACTCTCGAAAGGGCAAAAAGATGGAGGAGCGGGGGATCGAACCCCGGGCTTCATGCAGTTAATCTTATGCGTTCGTAAACGCTATTGCAAAGCAGGCACTCTACCACTGAGTTACACCCCCTTCTGATGAAAATAAATTGCTTAAGACAAAACATAAATCTAAAACAATTCGAGGCTAACATGCGAATGCAACTACAAGGTCGTTTCCGAACGTACGACTCGACATGTCACAAAATATAGAAGTCCGCAAAGTATACTTAGTACTCGGAAGAGTTTCAATTTCATTTTTCCTACTCCATTGCAAGAATCCCTCCACGAATTCCTAGTCAAACTACCACAAGAACACAGATTCCGACGAAGAGTCCTTCGATACTTCAATTCCACTATGAAACAACCATTGTACCACGCACAACTGCCTCTCAACTTCCCTAGCAAGTGTTTATCAATAGACCCCTCAACTAACCTAATAGAAGCCCCTCCACATCCTCCTCCAATCCATCCTAGTTCCCTCGCTCCCCTCCCAAATCCAGTACGGTTCTCCCCCTTCTCGGAAACCCCCCCCCCCCCATATAGAAGCCCGCCTCGCATTGTGCTTTTGGGACGGGGATCGTAGTCTTTCTTTATACGCATAAAACTCCAATATACTCCTTACTCGTTACAACAAACCACACGACCACTTCAGCCAAGTAAACTAGTAGACGAGAAACAGCCGTCTCACACTCCTTCGAATTCGAGAAAATACAAAACCACTCCTTAAATCAATCCAACTCGGAGAACAATAGGTCAAATGCCTGAACGAACCACTTACTTCCTTCGCATCCACCGCGGTCTCTTCTCACCAAAAAACCCGCTCAAGCACCACCACGAGGTAAGAAGATTTCAACAACAAAGGATCAGAAATACACTTCAAACTTTAGAGTAGGCATATGGAAGACCATTGAGTTGCAACCGACTCCCCTACTAGGATGAGGAGGTATTCGTGGGAACATTTGGAGGGACAACCATCGTATGAAATGCGACAGAAAGTAATCGAGGTGATTAATGAGATCGTCGTGGTATGATGGAGCCCACAAGCCTCGTTCAAACACTGAAATGAGCAGTCTAGTAGAAGCACCTGGAGATGGTTTGCTGCATCGTAGCTCAAGTTGTGCCACTCGTGGCGGAAACATGTTCAATTACTCCGTAGATCGTAACTACCGTGAGCTTTTGTGTAGCCCCTATATCCGTCGATCGTGCCAATGAAAGGCTTCAATGTAACCACATGCAATGAAACGTTTGAAGTGACCATCGTATGACCTGAAGGGAAATATCAGTACTACCCCGGGGAAGAACCGAGGCGCGTCTCCAACAACCTATGAGCGCCTTTAATAGATCTTAGCAATAAAAGTGAGTTAAGCCAATAGTGACAAAGGGATAAAGGGGAAATTGAAGCCACTCGACGAAGCAGATGCTAGATGTGAGTAAAAATTACACTCTCTATTGGCGTTTCCAATACTAAGGAGGTTCGACAACACCTTTATGGCTACTGACCAGAAGCAGTTAGAAACAAATGGCGAAATGAATGGCGTACTCAGCCGCTCTCAACAACGCATAGTATTTTTGCTTTTTCTTGATTTCCTCACCTGAAAGTATAGTGAGGGTGGCGGCCAAGGACCGAATAAGAAAAGAGACCCTGTACTTTGTGGTTACTGATTTCGGGAAAGACGGCCCAGTGACTGATTGGGCTCCCGAGCCTGCGAGACAATTGGTAGCGAGATATCCACGTTTCGGGAGAAGGCTCATTGAGAGCCTTGCGATGGAGGCAAGGTGAAAGTGGCTCCGCGATCGGGGTCCGGTTCTATTCCTGACAAAAGTACGTGGAAACACCAAGCCTCGATACGCAGCAACACAAGTGAACGAATCTTCTGTCGTACTTATGAAGCTTTCTGCGAAGATGCCTTACTGTAAGTGCGGTGGCCGTATTGTGCTCTCGTCGTTGCGGACCCATAGATCTCAAATTCCTATCATCGTAGGAGGAAAGAAAGTGAGAAGGATTGTGATTCGCAGACGTGAAAGTCGATCATGGGTATTTGCCCTCTAGCGTCGATGGGGGGGATTTTCCGTTCAGCTTTCAAGTCTGAAGATCGACAGTCTTGATGACGAGAAAAGCAGAAGTCCCCAGGCGTAACAGACCCTAAGCACTAACTCGTCACGGTGGCGCCTGGGGTGGATTTGTCTGCAATCCCCTATTGCAGGGAGGAAGTAGAGGTGAGGTCATTGAGGAGGTGTTGACCATTCAAGTGATAGAATTAGTATTGGATCCGCTAAATAGCATTTAAACCGGGTTAGGGGGGAGGCTGGGTTCAACTTTGATATGCAGCTAAGAAGCGATCTTCGACTAGGGATGCGAACGCGGACCGTATCAGAATAGGGGTACAAATAGCAGAATATTATAGTACCCATTGCATTCCGTCTTCGGGTAAGTGTGGTGCAATAGTCTAGATTCTCTTTTACTTTCTGCTCGTTTCTTTTCCACCTCCCTAGTCAGTCGCCGCCTCTCAATACCATGAGGCGCTTCTGTTTAAGGGCCTACTCCTTACACATCTCAACTTCATCCCATGCTACTTAGATGGTTGTCGAGCCACCTCCAGCACCTATAACCTTGCTTGCTCGGATACAAGGCGATGTAAGTTTTTTGTTCCTACTGATTCTCTCCTTGGGACGAAGCTCCACGCTACGTCACTTTCAAAGAATTGAATCATTTTATCATTAACCTGCCGTAGGTTTCCTATCAAACCGCTATACTACTATATATATACATTTCCCTTGTGGCACGCCTCTGTTCGTACTCCCGACAACCATCTCCTCTGCCTCATTTGAGAAATCAGCCGTAGCACTAGCTGCGCATCCCGTCCAAAAATTCCTTCGATTGAGCTACCTTCCGCGCCCGAGAAGAAATTCTGCGTCATCCCCAGGAACCAAACGTTTCCTCAAAAGACGTCTGGCAACCAACATGCCTAGCACAAACGTTCTTATATACGTACTGCGACGAGATCTTCGGGTGTCGGACAATCCAATCTTCCATTTCCTTGCAACTTGCAAAGATCATGGATTCACTCACCTCCTCCCACTGTACGTCTTCCCTGCGCATCAGATCGAGGTCAAGGGCTTTATTCCAGAGAACGAGGAGGCCAAGAGTCCCTACCCGGAGGCAAGAAGTCGACTTGCTAGCTTCTGGCGCACTGGCCCACACCGTGTCAAATTCCTCTCGGAAAGTGTTTGGGATCTGAAGTCTGGACTGGAGAAGGTTGGCAGTGGTTTATGTATGAGAGTCGGCATGATCGATGGGACTGTGAAGCGCCTGTCAAGCAAGATCAACGAGGATGGCGACTCAAGGGTGGGAGCTGTATGGATGATCGCTGAGGAGGGTGTGGAGGAGAAAAGGGAAGAACGATTGGTCAAAAAGGTTTGCGAAGAAGCAAAGGCAGACTTTAAACTGTTTGTGGATGAAAAATACCTGAAAGACGAGTATGCAAACACCAAAGTGACACTCTCGCATGCTGCCGCACCAGCTAACATGTCTTGCAGCCGAGATCTTCCCTTTGACGACCCCCAGGATACTCCAAATGTCTTCACTGATTATCGCAATAAAGTTGAACCACTCCGTGAAGCCCCAAGGCCTGTCCTGCCCACGCCAGACAAGGGCACTTTGCCAGCTTTTCCAGACGATATCACGCCCGCGCAAGAAGCACCATTCGCGATCCCCGACAACTATGATGCGCTTTTAGATGCGTTGATGAAACCTCTCAAAAGCGCGCCCCTGATCAAGAACCCTCCCAAGGACCCAGGTGACGTTAAATCGGCACATCCATTTCGCGGCGGCGAAACGCAAGCTCATGAACGCCTCGAACATCTCATCGCGTCTGGTGGTGTTACATCGTACAAGGACACCCGCAACGGTCTACTCGGCCCAGAATTCTCCACCAAGCTTTCTGCATACCTTGTTCTTGGATGTATCACGTCTCGTCAAATACATGAATCACTGCTTGCATTCGAAGATGGCACTGATGATGGAAAGTGGAAGGGTGTTGAAGGTCATGGTAAAGGGGAAAATCCTGGTACCAAGAGTATTCGATTTGAGCTACTGTGGAGAGACTATATGCGACTTTGCACCAAAAAGTTTGGACAGAAGCTTTTCCGCTTGGGTGGCTTTAGAGACGAGAATCCGGATCGATGGGTAAATCCTTCGCGCGCCGGCAACGGCCACTCGAAGGAGGACGTCGTAGATATGGTTGAGAGATTCCTTAGTGGAACTACTGGAATGGGCTTGATCGATGCTTCACAGCGAGAGTTGTTCCACACAGGCTACACGTCAAATCGAGCCCGTCAGAATTCGGCCTCATTCTTCACGAAGCATTTATGGATTGACTGGCGCATAGGAGCCGAGTGGTATGAAAGCATGCTAGTGGACTACGACGTGTCGAGCAACTGGGGCAATTGGCAATATCTCGCAGGTGTCGGCAACGACCCACGAGGCGAAGCTCGAGTCTTCAACCCGGTGAAGCAAGCTTACGATTACGATCCCCAAGCAGCATACGTGAAAGCCTGGGTGCCAGAGTTGAGAGGATTGACCGACCCAGGTGAAGTTTTTCAACCATGGACCATCCGAGATCAGGAGAAGAAGAAGGAGTTAGGCCTGGTAGGCTTTCCTTCAGTCGAGAAGCCATTGAAGAGAATCGACTTCACCGTTGGAAAGCGAGGACGACATCCTAGGAAGAACCGCGGGGGACATAGCGGGAACAGAGGTGATGGTGGAAACGGCGGAAGTTCTCGCGGTCACACGAGAGCTTACGGTGGATACGGACGAGGACGAGGACGAGGATATCACGGTGACAAAGAGTTTCTCGCTTGCAAGGAATGAGCTGTGTACCAAGACGACTGAGAGAAGATTTTTCTTTACGAGCTACGAATTATTCATGTATTATTTTTCATGTATAATTATTCATATAATATTAACCATATAATATTATCCATGTATGCTTTTTTTTTCATCCCTTTGCTGGAAGTTTTCTGCAGATGCCGCGCTGAGCTTTTCACGACGGAATTTCGCTACGGGTCGGTTATGGTAAGATGCAACATGGC